AAACTCTTTAACCCACTACAATCCATAACATACATTATCTTTATTTGGAGGGGGGGAAAAGGGGTGTGACACCCATTCCGTTTGAAATTTAGAAAAACGTAAAACATGAAAGTTGTAACCCGTTGAGTTAGCTTTCCTTATATAGCCCAAATGGAGTTCGGAGCAAAGAGTTATGTCTATTTTACTAAACAATGCGCAATATGCCTACTCGAGTCTTCGTTTGTTCTTAACTATTAAATTTGACCCTCGAACACGATCCCGGCTTAATTCCTTGGTCTTTTACTCAAATTTCAAAGCTCCAAAACACTAGAATTCATTCCATAACATCTATATAGCTCGGAATTACTCCTACAAGGCATAAAACACACCATTAATGCAAAACACTAGCGATTAAAGCTCAAACTCAATTAAAGTGCAGTAAATTAGAGTGTAATAAGCGACTAAAATATGCAATTATAGCCTATCATCAACACCCCAAACTTAAACCATTGCTCGCCCACGAGTAATCAAACTACACTTTATATAGACACGACCATTTTTAAACAATTGTCCTAACTCATCACACCAAGAGTATTTAAAATAGACTAAGCATAAAAGCGTAACATCTTCACCTCAAGATTTGACTCACAAGTACCACGCATTATTCACAACTTCCTCACTTACTCTAACATAGAGGTCATTGATATTACCTCTCTTTCATGAATCAAGTGCTCTCACACAACAAAAGAGCGTAGTTCCACACAATAAAATTTAAGAACACTTAGGAACTCAAGATGAAATAATTCACTCACTTTCAGAAATAACATTCATACTATAGGCTTGTCCGTAGTGTACTACTCTACTAATCGAGCTCATTCAGTCGAGGATCAAGTAGGACTTTATTTGGTTGTAATATAGGCTGCGAGATGGGTAGGATACATTTAGATATAAGAGTGACTACACCTTCCTAAGCACTTTAATACATATACTTTAACACTCAAACCTCATACTTATGTCAAACCAAACTCCACCTTCACCTTAATATATATTACCCCATACTTCTTTAAGCACAATTACATCAAGAGTCACCACTTATCAAGGAATATTTTTTTTTCACATCAATACAACTATTTTTTTTTTTCAATTCAAGTGGCTCTTATTTTTTTTTCAAAACAGTGCACCTTTCTCCTTATTTCATTAGTTCCACTCAACAGCCAAACCAACCACTCCACACTTTAACTTATACACAGTTCATAACAATTCAAGTGCTCATGAGAGGTTAAAAGGTTCGAATAGATAGTTAATTCAAACAAATGGGTAAGGCTTGTAATGTGGTTGCCAAAGAAACAAGATTACAGGCTCAAAGGGGTTAACTACGATACATAACAATTAGGCGGGTAAAATATACATATCTGGCTCAACAAAGAAACGCCTATATTCCTTCCAAGACTGAACAAAACTATTATTTCACTTTGCAAACACACGGGGCAAGTTCTAGGCATCAAATGCAATGCACAGAATAACACACAAACCTCACACACACCTGACACTTAACTCACTCAGGATTGGATTCATCAAGACACTCTAGTCAAAGCAGTTAAGCAACATTAAAATCATACAATTTAAGGTACTTATACAAGAGTCAAAAACTGAGTCTAAGCGTCACAACCAAAGTACTCACTATTCTCAAGGCATAACAAAGTCAAGAGATATTGCTTCATTTCAAAACACAACACAATGGCTCCTATTCCAAAACAAAAAACTAATTACACCCGGTTCAAACAAAACCCTTGGAAAAGAACCGCGGCACAAAGAAAAACCAAGGGGAAATTGCTACACTACCTAACAAAAGAAAATTTTTTTGTCCTTTTTCTTTAGACTTAAATCCCTCAAGAAAATTGTCTAAATAGATCCATCGTCGGGAAAAGTCCAATCTTTTCTATTTTTTGTAAAAAAAAAAAAATTTAATTAAACTAACACAACTAAATTAGCATGGAAAGTCACCCAAACAATCTCCTCACCCCACACTTAAAATTATGCATTGTCCCCAATGCACATCATAACTATAAGAGGGTAAAAGAAACTCTGTGGTAGGCCAAAGGCCGAAGCACTAGCAACTCATGGGGTACTCAAACTTCTCCCACGCTTGGTCCTTCGTGCGGGTACCTCGCACTTAGTTTCAACCATCTGGTTTGCTCTTGCATCCTTCCAATAGCTTTGCTTTCCATGCTCCTAAAAAATCAAAAATCGACACTACAAAAATAATATAATAATAAAAAATAAAATAAATAAAATAAAATAAATTAAAAATTATGTCAAAAGTATTCAGTTTTCTTTATCTCATATTTTTTGTATTATTTCAAGATTTTTGTGGTTGCTTCTTCCTTACATATTACTTTAAGAATGCCAATGAATTGAGAAGTGACATAACATAAACATAGAGTTCGACACTGAAGTAACACTAAACTTCATATTGATCGTCACAAATTAGATTATTTGGCAAAGCATATTCTAATTGTGAAAAATAATATTTATGCAAATATAATCACCAAATAGTAGATAATGATGGAACATAGCATGGTAGAGACTGAAAGTAAAAAAATATTTGATAGAAATTAGACCAAACACAGAGACTTACTGCTCTATAGTTCTTCTTGCTATCCAGAATAGATTCCAACCGATCACTTTCACAAAACATACATAATGATAAAATTAGCAATTTAAAATTTATATTGATGATTCAAATAAGTTTCAACAAAAAAAAAATAATAAGATACTCTATATACGTAAACAATAAACACAACCCAATAACGCACAAGAAAAGCATAAAAAAGGACTTGAATAAAGTCAAGAAAAAAGATTTTTCTATACACGCTAGCTACAAATCAAGCCTTAGGGACATCAGTTTGGTATTCATGTCTAATAGAAAATAATCTTCTAGCTCCTTTGAATACCTATTTTTCATAGCACAACCACCTTGTTACCCAATATTCTACCATCTTTCTTGTAGTCATGAACAAATAATTAAATGCATATATGTTTGGACACTAAAGAACATAATTAGTTTGTTTTCAAAATACAATAAATTCCCAAACGGCCATTCTAAAATCAAAAGCAAAAACTCACAAAAAAATAAATTAAACGGAGAAAACTTGAGGAAGGATGAAGTGCCTATGCGTGATGGAACATGAACAGAGGAAAAGCCGTTAAAAGAGTGACTGGTTAATGCAATCGATCATGCCATTAACTCATCAACCTAAAACAAAAATACTCCTAGACCTAAAAGGAGTTGAAAAGTTATGGAAATTTTGACCTAAAATATTTAAGACTTTGTGTTTAATCAAAAAAATGTATACTCATTAATTGATGCCTATCAACTTATACCTTAGTTTCAATCTTTTTCCTCTTTATATAAAGAGTCCTAAACTTAAGTAAACTTAAATTGAAGTGCTCGAGCCTTTTCCCAAAAATATCTAGAAAGACTTACTTAGTTAGAACTGTTCTTTTACAAATCTGTTAAATTACATAGCTCAAATAAAGAAATATTTAATACACAATATTTAGTTGGTTTTGAATTCCTAATATTAGGAAAATAAATCAATAATTATTCCTAAATAATAGAAAACTAGTTATATATATATCCCCGGACCCGGGGTGGGTTCTGAGACTTCGGGAAGCGCATGAACGGTTGCACACGACTAATGGAGGGCCGTGATATCCGCGTCCAACCAGATATCACGGCACAAATCTCGCTCGATGTCGGTAACAGATAAGTAATTAACGAGAAAGTAAGATTTTATCTTTTTTAGACTTGTACTAGGGCTGAAACTCTCCTACTATATAAAGGGAAAACTTTTATTTCAATATAACACATTGTAACACGCATACCAAGCCATACAAAATTATTTCTCTGCTATCTAGCTACTGCAAAATCTTTACCTTTTGTTCTTTGTTCTTGATTGGCTTCGAACTCAAGACTCAACTGAGGGCGGAAACTATCGCCCAATCCAAGTTCAAGCTAGGCCATAACGTTACGGCTGGTTTGATTATTCATTGTGTCTTTAACTCGTTTACCTAAAATTCTTGATTATTTGTGTTGAATAAATCTACATATCATTAAACCGCGTATAAATTCAATTGTTATCCATTTTAAGGGTACATATATATATATATATATATATATATATATATATATATATATATATATATATATATATATATATATATATTGAATACTAATAAACAACCCTACAAAAGTTTTGGAAAAGAGAGATAAAAAGATCTTCATTGTCTGATTCAATATCTGAGAGGTGTGATGGCTTCACACATTGATGACGAGTCAATCACATAGATTCACATATTGACTGTGAGTCCATCACACTGATTTCAGCCTTTGAATCAACTTCAACAACACATATTGATCTACTAAATAATACACAGGTTTGGTTTGGTGTTAATATTCTTGTATTTGTTTGCTAAGTAAAGTTTCATTATGTTAAAAAATAGTAGTTTTCTTGTATATTGCACTGAAAATTACTCGTAATCCACACAATTGTGTTTCAAGAGTTATAAGTTCAGCCGCACTTCAACTGCGTGTGATATTTAGAGTTTTAATCCCTTGTTTATGAGCCGTTTCTTCTTTTTCCCTATGCAACTTGATTTTTTTTTTAAAAACAAAATCAAGTAAAGTATTCATGCTACTGATGGTGACTCTTCCTTTATATGTTCACTAGTATACGTACCCGCGCGATGCGCGGATCGATTCAAAAAAAAAAAGAGCGAAGAGAAGTAATAAAAACATATGCATATTGGAAATTAATTTTAGCGATTGCGACCAAAATAATTAAAATAAAAGACAAATATTTATTATTGCCAAGGGCCATTGACCGATCCCAAGTGGCTCTTTAATAGAAGGCCTGAGCATGAAATATTTGATTTTCGTTTTGATCGGTAAAATATTTATTCCTCATTATGAGTTATAAGTAATAATAATAATAATGATGATAAATTTAATTTCTTGGTAAGGCGAAAAATCAACTAATTCATTTAGCTTTGCTAATTTATCCAGCGGCTTGCCACTAACATTTAATAACCTACCTGACCAAAAAAAAAAAAAAAAAACATAGACCAAAAAAATACTCCTACTAATCCATAAGGAGTTAAAGTATGCCTCTACATTAGTTGATCAATAAATCGACCAACTTACTTGAATTATCATCAATAGAGTTTTGAAGAACCTCAATTATCAGGAGGTTAAATTGGATAAGAACTACTTCATTACAGTCTGCTATATTGAAGGATATAGACTGTTCTGATACTTGTAACCAAAAAAGCTGCTAGTGGCATATGGAGGCTATCCAATATCAAAGAATAGATGTAATTTACCGGAGAAGACGAATCAGCTCGCATTTTTTTATAATAAAATTTATTCCCCTCTTTTTCTAGTTTCTTTGAGCAAATTTTGCATGCTAAATAACACCATCCACGGTCTAATTCAACGTGTACAATAGTTGCTACAACCCAGTAATTTCCTGGCTGCGCATAAAAGTTGTATATACAATTGTTATGTAGAGAAATATAAGATAAGTAATTAAAAAGTAAAAAAAAATAAATTAAAAAGTAGGTACTCACATAGTTACAGTCACCCAAATCCTCAACATTTTTAACTTCAATACTTCCAGATGCTAGCTCATTAGCAACAGAGTGAGTTTTGTGAGATGAAATTTGAGTAATTCTTTGGGAGCTTTCTCCACGCACAGAAACCATTCTGTTTCAATTTTTAACTTGAGATACGTTAATAAATTTTAAGACTAAAATTTAGGATGAAATAGACTTAAATTTAGCCCAACTTATAGAGACCTGGAGCAAAAGTCAACAACTTGAGGAAGATTTGAATTGATCCAAAGCTTCGATACGTGCCAAGTATTCCTCACCGAATATTGTTCTGCACACTTAAAAGTAATTTTTAAGAGTTTATTAATTATATAGAGACATTGTATTGCAAAGTAAGTAGACAATTTAATAACCTCAATATCGATGTGCTCTAATCAATTGCATGACGACGACAACATGCTTATCATTGGATCCATTCAAATATGGCTTTATCTGTTCCACAAAGTCTCCCCAAAGAGTTGCAGAAATGTTGTTACTCCTACATATTATAAGGTTAAGCATAGGAATCAAAATAAAGAATTGTTGAAATGTTTACTTAGTTGAATAAATTGTGGCGAGCTTACTCATAATCTTGTATCTCAATGTTCATGTACATACGGATGTTATCATCTTGCTTGATAGACTGTACGTCCTCATAACTCACAACTTCGCCAATGACATCTACGAAGCAAGGAAATATGTGCAAAATTAGTAATCATTATAGACAATATAAATAAAGATAAAGGAATTAAACACTTGGATGTATATTCCAGAGGAAACAGGTATCAATTTTTCAGAGTTTTGTGAAAAAGGAAGGTTTCAGAGAATGTAAAGTAAACTGTGGGCATGAACTCCATCAGCTACCTATGGAAGTAAGAGATCAAAAGCTAACCTTAGGCCTTCATAAAACGACTGAAATACTATCTGTAAATAATATGCAAAGTAGTACCACGACTATACACCTGTAATGGAGATGTTCAGAGAAATAGTACAATATTGACCTTTATTTAGTTCCATACGCCTACAAAGGCCTTCTAGAAATCAGATTATGATTTTCGACTGAGGATTTAACAATGTCAAAAAAAAGTTTTAATCTAAAACTTGATCTTTAATTATATGTACTGTGATTAGTATTGTTAATTCACACTTAGAATTCAAAATATAGAAAACAAATAAGGCAAAGTAAAATGAAAGTGGAAAAAATGAGAGAAATTAAATTACCAAATAACTCAGTATTGTCAAATTCTTGGGGATTTGACATCTGCTCATAGGTTCTAAATTTGAAAATACACATGTTGAATTGTGGATCATGTATTTCGTCAACAGTGCTTTTATGCGTGAACATCAACTTAAACTTGTGGTCTTTGGTCTTAAGCTTCATATTATTTGGACAAACCACAAAATTGTTCATGATGTACAAACCCATTTCCTTAATTTCTTGTTTGAACCTTTGAATAAAAGACCTGCCAATACTTGCGTGAATGCGGTCGCCCTACAAAAAAACTCAATTAGTTAAAATGACTAAGTTAGTAAGTATACGACTGTAATATACTTACGACTATGTAAACAATGATAAATGGAAAGTAATTATAAAGTTTTAAACAATACCTTTTCATCCATCAGAACAATCTCAATGGAAAAGGGGTTGTCAGGCCTGTCGCAGTCCGGATTTTTCTAAAGCCTCACAATACGAACCTTTAACTTCCAATTCATTGATTTGCTGTTAATTTCATTGATGAAATTGATTTCAGACGCCATTATATCCTGAAAATAGACAGAGGTATTTGTAAATATAAGTAGAAAGTAAAGCTTCACGGAAAATCCTATCGCGGGACGGGACAAGTTGATTGCAGTAGGCTAATAACTAAAACCAAAACGAACCATTCGATACTATATAGAGACCTTAATAATGCAGAGAAGACTCAGAGCTTGGGATTTAAGCGTGGTGGATTGGTTGATCAAATATGTCTTGCTTGCAAAGAACAATGGAGAATTTTTTCCCTTAACCACGAGTAGGAGTAATATGCTCGTATGAGAGAGAGAAAGAGAGAGGGAGACTACACATAAAAAATTAAAAATCATCCAACAACAAAAAGAGAAGCTGCAATTTCCTGGTCCAATATACTCTAAACTTCATCACGATGGAGAAAGAAAAGAACTATATACTGTAAAAATAGAACTGATTTTAGAACTGATTTGATAAAACCGTGAAATCATGTTACTGGAATCGTGGGCAGAGGTGTTCGTGGATAAGGAGTTGATATCATGGTAAGACATCGTGTGGTTGAGGTGCCGAATTTGGAGGATGAAATTTTTAGGGCAAAGAGATGAAAATGGCATTCCCAATTTCCAGCGGCTAAGGTTTCAAAATGTATCTATATACCTATTTAATAGGAATGGGTTTTTCTTTTAAAAGAAACGTAGAAACTACTTCTTCTTCTTTTAAATATAGAATAACGTGCTTTTTAAAAAATATATATAAAATACCTAATTACTAATTGTTTTCAAATTTCAAAATTTATAAAGAGAAACTAAATAGGAATGGTTTTACTTTTGAAAGAAACGTAGAAACTACTTCTTCTTCTTTTAAATGTAGAATAACGTGCTTTTTAAAAAAATATATATAGAATACGTAATTACTAATTGTTTTTAAATTCAAAATTTAAAAGGAGAAACTAATTTTACCTAAAATAACTAATTTGTCCTAAAGTTGCTACATGGCATTTTATATGTGGAACACTTGGCAAATTTTCAAGGCTAACTTTCTTCCTTTTAAGTAAATATAGATTAGTTTGTAACAGAAAAAGTGATTTATAAGCTCGGATTCGATGTATATGTATAACTAAATGGCGCATTTATTGAAAAACTAAAGACGAGACATAAATATAACATCTCAAATTCAATGAACTATGAAAAGCAAAAGCGTATAAATAGAAACACGAGATCTCAGAAAGAGTACTGAAAGAAGAAAAGCTAAAGAGTGGCATCTCTATTTAGCATAAGTTCCATAGTCACAATATGCATTTCCCTGTTAATGTTCACACTCATTCCTCAAATGCCTTTGGCTGCTGATAATATTGAATCCTCTCTCAAATCGGCGATAGGTACTGCCGGATTCATATCACAGGTTTTAAGTTATGATGAAGCCGTGGGTTGTATATTTAACTTGGGAGATGCAGGAAGGGCTCTCGAGCTAGCAATTAATAAGTACCATAAACATCAAGTCAAAGATGTTATCAAACAGATTGATGAAGCCATAAACGATGTCAACATTTGTCTACAATCATCTGATGTTGTGAGTAGGTATATTGCCGACAATATAGTACAAGATATTACCAATCTCCAATTATTTATCAAGAAAATTAAGAAAGAAGCTTCAAGATTAGGAAGCAAGGTAGTGGGATCAGCCTTGAGCCCAGCTTAGCCTAGCTCAGTAACATAGTATTGAGCTACGTCTTGTATTTCAATCTTACTGCGCATATATAGTTTTTGGGCTAAGCTATACATAAACTTATGACGTATTTCAACCGGACCTCTGGTTTATTAAATTTGGTGTAAACAAACTATATCAAGTTTAACCCCCCGAAAGAACACATTTGACTATTTTAAATTTAATTTTGTTTGAATTACATCATCTTTTTTTTCACTATATCCAAATTTTATTCCTACTATATCATTCAACGTACTAACAAAAATATATAGATTGCAACAACCAAAATGAAACAAGAGACCATCTCTTCATGGAGTGTCCTTATTCTATCAAAGTCTGGGAGGGGGTACTAAAATGGATGCAGGCCCCAAGCTTCAGAACAACACAATGGGAACTAATGGAAAAGTGGATCATCCAAAGAACAAAAGGTAAATCGCAACAAGCCCAGATATTCAAGATGGCCTATACAGAATGGGTGCATGCAATATGGATTGAAAGAAATCAACGGAGATTCGAAATGAGATCAAGGAAGGCAGAACAAGTAGTGAAGGAAATAGCATACGTGTCTAATGTCCGAGCTCCTACTAGAATTAAAGAAAAGGTTCAACAATTTTGTATTTGTTAGCCTAGTAGAAAATAGTTTCTTTTCAGTCCTATAGTTAGATAGCAGACTGGGTTGTAGTCGTGCTATGGCTCTTTACTTGTAAATATTCTGGTAATTAATAAAAAAATTTAATTACCAAAAAAAAAATATATAGATTGTGTTTGTTGGATGTTTGGAGGTTTGGATTGTACTTAGTGAAGTGATGTAATATGTATTTTATGATTTGTGCTTGTTGAAATTGACAACTGGTGTGATAAGTACTATACAAAGGGCACGGTAATGCAAATGCAATTTCTAGATTTTTTAAGGTTCTTGCAAAGTAGTCAAAAGATCTCAAAGATATTTCCATAAACAACGAAGTCATTCAAAAGCTAAAATATTTACGAAAAAAAAAAGTTTTCGAAGGAAAGCCATCGAAAAGTGAATCTAAATTGTCAACTACCAGTCCGTCTAAATGATTAAAAAGGGTTTTAAAAACTTTTACGTAGTTTGTGAACGATAGCTCTCTACAAATGAAAACAATATTTTAATATTCCAAAAGCTAAGCCATCGCGAAAATCCGCAAAAAGCCCGAAAGGAAGTTTCAAATCATCACCAACTTGTTTATACATGAAAGGTGGTCGAAAATGTCTTCGAAAGGTACGTATCGGCGTCATCTCATTAATTTCGTTATCTCATTTTAGGACCAATACCAACAAATGGCCCCTGATTGCGCCTAAATCATTTAGGTAAAGAGTTTAATTATATCAAGAAAAATAACTCATCAAATAGTACGATTCAAAGTCTAATGCAGATCACGCATGAGATCAAGGTAGTATAATAATAATGAAAACAATATGGCAAAAGGCATTAAAATAATGTCACGACCCAAAATCCACTAAGGGTCGCGATGGCGCCGGACACTACTGTCAGGCAAGCCAATCAAAAATACTTAATTAAATTTTCGTTTTAATACTCTCTGATTTTCCTTCAAATTTACCAATTAAAAAGATAATCACTTCAATTCAAATTAAATGATAAGCAATTAATACAAAATTCTTCGTAACCATCCCAGAACCCGGTGACACAAGTGCATGAGCAATTTCTAAGAAAATCGAATAAAGTACAACAGCTGTCCGGAATACAATTGGATAGAAAATAATAGAATCCTGAGAGAGACTATACTAGCTGCGGGTCGCCTCGAGGAAATACAGCTCACCTAGTCTCTATGTCAACCATGCTGCTACGCCCACTAGGCCACTAGAGGTGCATGTGCCTCTGCAGCCAAATGCACAGAAGTGTAGTATGAGTACAAAAATAACGTGTACTCAGTAAGTATCCCGCCTAATCTCGAAGAAGTAGAGACGAGATGGCAACTTCGACACTTACTAAAGGTCCAGTAATAATATTATTAACGTGATGACTCATGGATTTATTAAGAACAACAGTAAAATTTAAATGAGTCACTAAACAGGTGAAGGTTCCTTTTTATTTAAAGTCTCCGGATTCATAATCCATTAATTAATAATTATCTCAAGTCGGGGAGAGCAGATATTAGTATCAACAAATATCAAGGCAAGCAATACAAGCATGCACAACTCATGCCGAGGTCGTACGATCCGATCCAACAATATTTAAAATGTGCACTGCCGGGTCGAGTGGCCCGAACCATACATGCGACGTGGTCAAATATAAATAAACACGACAATCAGTCAATCATGAATTTATCAGGGAAGAATTATCCAAGGAAAAGCCAATTCTCTTTTAACAATTCAAGAAAATGAAGTTTAATCCTCTTAGAAATTTATTTACCAATTCGATAGGATTTAAGAAATTCAACTGTCAATAAGATTGCAATTATTCCAAGTATAGCATGCTTTTTGGGTCCTAGACTACCCGGACTTACACATATTAGTAGCTACGCCGGACTCTCGTCACCTAGTGCGTACGTAGCCCCCACAAATAGGAGCAAATAACCAATTATTTCACCTATGGGGATAATTCCCTCTTACAAGGTTAGAAAGGAGACTCACCTCGCTCCGAAGATCGATAACCGGCATCCCACGCCCTTCCGAAGACTCGAATTGATGCACAACGCTCCGAAACTAGCCAATAATTATGCAAATCCATTAATATATGCTCAATTACTCATTACAATTCAATTTATAACAATTCCTAACCCCGATCAAAAAGTTGACAAAAATGCCCTCGGGCCCACGTGCCCGGATTTCCAAAAATTTCGAAGAATAAGTTTACCCATAGCCTCACAAACTCGAATATATAATTTTCTCTTAATTTCATACCAAAAATCGTGGTCGAATTCCAAGAATATAAATTTCTAGGTTTTCCCTCAAACCCCAAGTTTTCTACAAATTTCCATGTCCAAATCCGTATATAAACATGCATTTAACTCAAAACTAGCATAAATTACTTACCTCATGCTTGGTGATGAAAATTGCACCTCAAAGTTGCTCCAAATCGGCTCCAATGGAAGAAAATGGGATTGAAATGAACCCAACCCCCGATTTAAATAAACCTCACTGCCTCCAGCATTTCCGCACCTGCGGTCCCCTGACCGCTTCTGCGGTTCCGCAGGTGCGAGCCACTCTACCGCTTCTGCGGCTTCCTCCAAGCTCCCTTTTTCCGCTTCTGCACCTCGCCCACGCATGTGCGGTCCCGCTTCTCCATGACCGCATCTGCGGTCTCTTCACTTCTGGCCAAAACTGCATTTGCGGCTCTTCTGGCCGCTTTTG